TTGCACATCCGTGTTCACATGGGCAAAATAACCTGGCCTTTGGTGGCAACACTGCAATCACCTTCGTGCAGATTTTAAACCCTGTTTGCAGACGCCTCGGCTGTTATTCAGTCATTTAGGCAGGAATTTGGGGTGCTCTTCAGCTGCCTATCATCAATGTGTAATAAGTAAATATAAAGTCCATCTCTTTAAGATTTGAGCAGAGGCTGAATGCCAGATTAGCTGGCATCTATTCAGTGGAATACGAGGAGGAGTACATAAATACTATTTCAGGCTAAGCTTTGTTTTTCGGGAGCGAATATGGAGGGTGTATAATTTGACAATTCCCTCATTTATGAAGCGAGAAAAGAAAGTCTTCATGCTTATCTCCATGAATTATATTGCAAAATAACAAATCCAGTCATCAGCTAATTTGCCAGAAAAGCTCTTGAGCTGACTGATCCATGAAAGTGGGTCTTCGTCGTCTTCTTTCTTTTTTTTTTGAAGTCGGGGAAGAGGTATTATAGGGATTTTTGAAAACACCATTTCCAAATGGTGAACTCAAGCATCCTGGTCTGATCCTTGGGTTAAGCCTAGAAATGTCAACCTGTGTGTACATGAATGATATGACACCCTTTTTTGCTCTCTCCTCCTTTCCTTTTTTGCCCTCCGGCCAAATCAAATACATGAGATTGCAACACGCTGTTGGAAGTGGCTACACCTACATTGTGTTGTAGAGCCTTGGGCTAGCTTGAGGTCTCAGAGTCTGAGTGGAGAAAAGTCATCAGTGTGGCATTGATAAGGCAGGGAAAAGAGCTTTTGGGGAAGCCAAGTTCATAATTCTTCCATTTCAGTCCTTGGGAACTTGGGATGCCATATGTAGTCTACCGGTATCTATGATTCTCCTTGACCCAAAAGTAGCCATTCATGCAGACCGGAGACCCCTTGGGGCACCATACTTAGACCTATCTATGACTCTTCTTGACTCAAAAATAGTCATTCATACAGAGTGGGATCTTGGTGGCACCATACTTAGATCCACTTATGATTCTCCTTGACTCAAAACTAGCCATTCATGCAGGCCTAAGATCCTGCAGGCACAATACTTAGATCACCTATGACTTTCAGAGATGCAAAATTTTGGTCCAATGAACATTTATGGGCTGGGACTACAGTATCTTGCATTGTTCTGAAACACCTGCTCAGCCAATATATTTCAGATGCTCGAGAGTGATTTAACTAAAATGCTAAGCTTTTGTTGGGAAGTTGGGCTGTTGGAGACCAAGAGAACTTGTAAGGTGGAGGAACACGAAGGGCAGAATCTCCAGGACTGGGTCCAATTGAGTCAAGACAGCTTCTGAGAGACAAGCTTTGGGTTGGCCTTTGCTCAGGGAAAGCCCCAACCTGTTTTTAACCAGCATGCAGGTGGAGTCACCCTGGAGCCTGGAAAAGCGTCAGAAGAAGCAGTAGAACCTAGCCCATGAAAGTCCCCATGGTAGGACTGCCGTCTTCTAGCAAGCCAAACCAAAACTTGGAATGTGACAGGTGTTCAAACATATGTGCTAACTGAGATTCAGGAAACAAACTTGTTCAGAATGTTGCCCTTACTGGAAGCATGAACATGATCTTTGCAGCAATATATTAGTGTCCCAACCTTTCCCAGCATCCTCTTCTGCCAGGAAATATGTGCCCAGGCAGTAGCTGAGTGGCCCACAGTCTTCCAGCAACACCTAAAAAAGCTACATTTGCAAGACTCAGCCAATCTCTCCTTGGCAGAGACACGCTATGCCAACCACTTCAAATGCAAAGCCAGAGGAAGGAAGGCGAAGGCTCAGCTAATGAAGTACTGGCACCAGTACGTCTCCAACCCTCGGATGCTTTATGGCACTGAATGCATGGAGAGGGGGGAGAGCTTAGGCCATCATGCTCAGACATGTTTGGGGCCAATTTTTGCTGAGGAGGCTGCTCACGCGTTGACCCTAAGTTGGCAAAATGGATGGAGGAGAGCTCTATGCCTTGATGTTTCTAGGCTGAAACTTTCAGCCCACTTACCCAGGAGATCATGGTCCAGCCTCTTTCCAAGTGAACATATGTGCGATCTCACATATTTTTGTCCACATCATAGGTTAATGAGTCCAAATCAGTTTGCTGAGGTCTACAATTCAAAGATACCCATTGCTGGAGAAAGGCTGGGGTGAATTTCAACTTCCAGAATCCTCCAGACAGCATGAGCATTGCTGAGGAATTCTGGGAGCTGAAGTCCACACATCTTGATGTTGCCAAGGTTGAGAAGCACTGTAGTAGGTGGAAGGAAGGAAGGAAGGAAGGAAGGAAGGAAGGAAGGAAGGAAGGAAGGAAGGAGAGGGAAATGAAGATGAAGAAAAAATAGAAAGGGAAGAAGGGAGGGAAGGAAGGAAGGAGGGAGGGAAGGAAGGAAGGAAGAGGGAAATGAAGATGAAGAAAAAATAGAAAGGGAAGGAAGGAGGGAAGGGAAGGAAGGTGCTTCAGGTAGAATGTTAATCAGAAGCAACCTTCCCCATCTGCAACACATAGAGTTCCCAGCTAGCCCAACTGCTCAGGGACACTCTATCTTTCCAATAGCCCTATAAGATAGACTAATTTCAGATTAATTGAATCAAGCAAGTAGATCCTGAACCTTCTGCTTCTGGATATGCCTTTCTCACCTGCAAACCTACCTGAGCCCTAAAAGACCCTTTGGTCTTTAAAAGCGGGCCCTTATTTGGCAGCATCAGTTCATCTTCCGTCCACCTCCCTCCCGAAATTATGTATTCCAATCACCCAAACCTTGTCCTCTCCGTCCTATTCTACATTTTGGTGCATGTAGGGCCAGGATTTTGAGTCTCTGCATTAGCCGAGTGCCAACAGTTCTACTTCTGCTGTGGCTGCAATGTTTTCTGGCCTCCCAAATACCTGCTGCATGGGGACAAGCAATTCTTCAGGAAGGACAGAGAAAGTTCTCCTATCTTATTTGGGGGGGGGGGAGAGGATGAGTTTAAGATGCCCAGGAGCAAAGTTTTGACTTGCAGACCGGGGGTTGCATTCTTGCCCTACAGTATAGTCTGGAAAATGTGGACTGTGGGGGGTTTGAAGAACTTGCAAGAACTTGATTGAATGAAGAGCTGTCCTGCTGGAGGAGTCCTTCTCTTTCATAATGTTGGCTTCTGCATGCCAAGGGGGGAGCCATTAGGAAGTCTGTGACTTCCTCACCCGGTTCCTCTCCCACCTCTTGCTTGTTCTCCATCTCTCTCTCTCTCTCTCTCTCTCTCTCTCTCTCTCTCTCTCTCTCTCTCTCTCTCTCTCTCTCTCTCTCTCTCTCTCTCAAAATATCCTTGTTCTTTGGATTGAGGTGGTGGAGGAGAAGGCAGTGGGCTTGCAGCCAGTTTTCTGCCTGCCCGATCTGTCCTCAAGAGCTCAACTGGAATTAGGGAGAAACTTCCTGACAGTGAGGACAATTAACCAGTGGAACAGCTTGCCTCTAGAAATTGTGGGTGCTCCATTACTGGAGGCTTTTAAGAAGAGGCTAGACAGTCACTTGTCTGAGACGGTATAGGTTCTCCTGCTTGAGCAGGGGGCTGGACTAGAAGACCTTCAAGGTCCCTTCCAGCTCTATTCTATTCTAACTCCCCCCCTCCCCTCCATGAGGGCAAAGGAGTAACTGGCAGAGAGAGTTTGGTTTCTTCCCAAAACAAGGACGCGTTCTTAGTATCATTTCATTTCATTAATAAATTGCTTGGCTTCTTCCATTCGGTTTTGGCTGCGGGGATAACGCTGTTCTTCCTGTGGTCAGAGTTCTCAAGAACAAGTAAGAAGAACACAATGACAAAGTGTTCTTGTTCATAGAAGGAAGTCCCTCTCTACCCCAGTGGGTGTGTTTAGTTCTGCAGCTCAAATACATCCAACGATATAACCCGTATTTGGATTATACCACCTTGAATTTCCAGGCCAGTGGGGAATCTTCCCAAAATTATGCTTCTGCTGGTAGTACTTGACTTACAAGCCCAACTGAGGCTGGACTTTCAATTGCTAGGAAGATGCAGTTGCTAAGAAGCAGTTGTTAAGGGAGTCACAGCCGACTTTATATCGATTTTTGCTGTGGTCGCTAAGCAAATCACTACAGTTGTTAAACAAACCTGGCATTCCCCGTTGACTTTGCTTGCCCGAAGCATCGATCAATGGCTGTAAATGCAAGCAAGTTGCTTAGTGCCCAAAACATGAGATGCTGTGATGGTCATAAGTGCATCAACCAATCCTAAGTCCCTTTTTTGCAGCATGTCAGCTGGCCAGAAGAGCTATTAAAGCAGCAGCCCCAGCTCAGAAGAAACCTTCACTCAGCCTGTTGCTCCAGAGTATCACATTATGGCTCTGGGAAGCCAAGCCATGGTTTGCGGGGATGGGTGGCTTCAAGATCTTTCAGGATAGGACCTTCACGAGATGCCTTCGCCAAGCTGGTTGAGTGGGACCGGGAAGAGCCGTTCCCATTCAGGCTGAGCACCTCTTGACAGGGCATTTCAAACAAGTAGCTGAGTCAACTTGTCTTCCTGGCTGGCTTTCAAGAGGTTGGGTGGGGAAGCCAAAGACGATCACCCCAAAGCCTGGGAGAGGGGGAGGAAGTGCTCAGGGCTGGAAGGCTGTTCCCAGGCCCTCTCCTGCATGACCGTTCATGTGCTCCCGGACATGTCCCAGCATGCAGAATGAGCCATAGACACTTCAGAGGCTGAGCCTGGAAAGCAATGGCTCCCCTTTGCAGGTGCAGAAGCTTTGCTCCCTGGAAAGAGAGGAGCAAAGAAAAGTGGGACGTCTTTCTTTGGATGTATTGGTTGGTTAGCGGTCTAAAGTCTTCTCCTCAAAAGGCCAAATCTGGACACAGCAAGCAAGGGAAGATCTGTTTGTACGATTTCCCTTCATTGACGAATCCCGGATTGGCAAATAGTTTAGACTTGGCTGTTTTGCCCAGTTTAGGAGGGTTTGGTTGGCTGGTGAGGGAAGGAGAGAGAATCCACATGGGACTCGGAGTCTCTTATGCCACCACGCTGCACAAGAAAAACCTGACTCACAAATCCCGGGAACCGGCGTCGCTCCTCCTGTTTTCTAATAAGCGTCTGGGAGGATGAAAAGCGAATCGGTAGGCAATACAGGCAGTTCTCGATTTACGGCACAATTTGGCGGGGGTTAAGTGAGTCACGCCCAATTTTACGACCTTTTGGGCAGAGGTTGTTAAGCAAAATCACCTTAGTTGTTCAGTGAATCGGGTGGTTGTTAAGTGAATCACGGAGCTTCCCCCACTGACTTTGCTTGTGGGAAGCCAGCTGGGAAGATCACACATGGTGACGACCCCAGGATGCTGCAACCGTAGTAAAATACATGCTACTTGCCAAGTGCCCTCATTTTGATCGTGTGACCATGGGGGTTGTAAGTGCAAGGGCCTTGTAAGTCCTTTTTTCAGAGCTGTGATAACTTCCAGTGGTTGTTAAATGAATGGTTGTAAGTTGACGACTAGCAGTATTGAGCAGATATAGGTGGTCCTCAAGTTATGACCACATTTGAGCCCAAAACCTGTGTTGCTGAGCCAGATATTGAACTGAGTTTCGCCCCATTTTACGACTGTTCTCGCCACAGTTGTTAAGTGAATCACTGCACTGGTTAAGTCACTAAGATAGCTGGTAAGTGAACCCGGCTTCCCCATTGACTTTGCTTGTCAGAAGGTCTCAAAAAGGTTTTATCTTCCGACCGAAGTGGTACCTATTTATTTACTCGCAGTTGCAGGCTTTCAAACACATTACAATACAGAGCCCCCAAAAACCACCTCCCAAAAAAAAACAACCCTCTGCCTCTGATCTCTTTGCTAACTGACCAGAGGACCCTGCAGGATTCCCATTGGCTCATGAACAAGCGTTGAACCAAGGCCAATGCACAGGTGATGCCCTTGGTTTTATGGGGTGGTACCACTTCTGAGCATCTCCTTCCTTTCCATTGGTGGTCTCTTGGAGCCCGGGCTGTTACCTCCCGAAGTTCACGATGTCCGTTGTGTCCAGTGGTGGGATTCAAATAGGTGAACAACTGGTTCTCTGTGTGGATGCCGCTTCCGGAAGTCCATTCTGGACATCGGACAACAAAAAATTAGCTGCCGGTTCTGCCGAAGTGGTGCAAACTGACTGAATCCCACCACTGGTTGGGTTCCTTTAAGTAGTGAGTTTCCTAGGACATCTTGAGGTTCTTCAGAAATTTTTCCAGGCCTCCTTAAGAGGTTCAGAGAGCGGGTGGACCAGTTTTTCTCCAGCAAAGCAGCCTGCCTGCTTACTAGCGCCTGCTTACTGCCACCGTATTACCCTGCGGAGCTCAGCCATGGGTGTGTTTCGCAAGATGTAATCGCATTTTGCATGGGGTGGGGACAATCCCGTCGAACTGGCCTGCCTGGTGCCTGTCGGTGGATTCAGGATGTGCCTGAAAATGCGGGACGCCGCCCTGCCAGAATCTTTTAGATTGAACATGCAGGGTTTTTCAGCAGGCCTGAAGAAGTTTCTCACCCAGCCCACTGATGTGGAAAAGGGAGATGTCAACCCCCCCCCCCCCGATGCTTTTCCGGAGGCACTTTGTTCTCTCTTCCTTTTTAAATTTATTTTTACCTCCATCTCTCTCTCTCTCTCTCTCTCGTTCGCATTTCCCCAGGCTTTCTATTTCTTTGGGATGGGCAGGTGGGGTGGGAGGGTCTTGCTTTTCCAGTTCTCGGCTGTGCTTAACCATCCCCTTTCTCCCCCCCCACCCCCAATCTCTTTTTCTCTGTACGAAATAAAAATACCAGCCATATAATTACTGGCATGTTATCTCTAAATACACAAATCAGGGAATATGCAGCCACAGCAGAAATTTAAAATGGGGAGGAGGAGAGAGAGTTGGAAGGGGCATGGTTGAGGGAGGAGACTTTGCTGCCTTTTGCTAAAAGGACCCAGGGCTCATTTTGCAATGCGAGAAGGAGGAGGGTTCAGACGTTTTTAATGCTCAGTCACACACCCCCCTTTTTTTTTTCCTGGAAGGTTATTGATTCCAATAGAAAAAGGCTATTTGTAGCTCAGGGTTGAAATGTGGGGTCCTTGGTGCTCTCTGAGCCTGGTTTGTCTTCTGGCAGACGTTTCATGACCCATCTAGGTAACACCATCACTGCTAGAAGGGATTGGGATTTGTGAGGAGGAGGTGGAGAAAGAGGAGGAGGACATCCATGGGGTCTTTGATGCTGTCTGAGGTTGGTTGTCTTCTTGGAGACATTTCATGACCCATTTAGGTAACACCATCAGTGCTAGAAGGGATTGGGGTTTGTGAGGAGGAGGAGGAGAAAGAGGAAAAGGAAGAGGAAGAGGAAGAGGAGGACATCTATGGGGTCTTTGATGCTCTCTGAGGTTGGTTGTCTTCTTGGAGACATTTCATGACCTATTTAGGTAACACCATCAGTGCTAGAAGGGATTGGGGTTTGTGAGGAGGAGGAGGAGGAGGAAGAGGAAGAGGAGGAGGAGGACATCTATGGGGTCTTTGATGCTCTCTGAGGTTGGTTGTCTTCTTGCAGACATTTCATGACCCATCTAGGTAACACTGTCAGTGCTAGAAGGGATTGGGGTTTGTGAGGAGGAGGAGGAGGAAGAGGAGGAGGAGGACATCTATGGGGTCTTTGATGCTCTCTGAGGTTGGTTGTCTTCTTGGAGACATTTCATGACCCATTTAGGTAACACCATCAGTGCTAGAAGGGATTGGGGTTTGTGAGGAGGAGGAGGAGGAGGAGGAAGAGGAAGAGGAGGACATCTATGGGGTCTTTGATGCTCTCTGAGGTTGGTTGTCTTCTTGGAGACATTTCATGACCTATTTAGGTAACACCATCAGTGCTAGAAGGGATTGGGGTTTGTGAGGAGGAGGAGGAGGAGGAGGAAGAGGAAGAGGAGGACATCTATGGGGTCTTTGATGCTCTCTGAGGTTGGTTGTCTTCTTGCAGACATTTCATGACCCATCTAGGTAACACTGTCAGTGCTAGAAGGGATTGGGGTTTGTGAGGAGGAGGAGGAGGAGGAGGAGGAGGAGAAAGAGGAAAAGGAAGAGGAAGAGGAAGAGGAGGACATCTATGGGGTCTTTGATGCTCTCTGAGGTTGGTTGTCTTCTTGGAGACATTTCATGACCTATTTAGGTAACACCATCAGTGCTAGAAGGGATTGGGGTTTGTGAGGAGGAGGTGGAGAAAGAGGAAGAAAAGGAGGAGGACATCTATGGGATCTTTGGTGCTTTCTGAGGTGGGTTGTCTTCTTGCAGATGTTACATGACCCATCTAGGTTACATCATCAGCTCTCCGAGAGCAAAGCCCATTCCCTCCTTGCACTGATAACGTTGCCTAACTGGGGTCATGAAACGTCTACCAGAAAACAAGCCACCTCAGAGAGCACCAAGGACCCCACTGTACGGAGAAAGTCTCCCCTCCACCCTGCCTCCCAGCCCTTCCAAAATTCAGTTCCTATGAACCGTCACCCTGACTGGGTCTGCTGTGAAACTGCAAACTGCTCCTCGCCTTCATCTTTCCTCTCTCCCGTTCGTGGTGCGCCCCCAAAGCAACATCATCGGGGCCTCTTCCAGGCTGGCCCCCTGCAGATACAATCACCCTGCAGCCAACTGGCTGAGGCTGATGGGAGCGGCCAGCTCAGCACCTTTGAAAGTCACCAGGCCAAAGAAGGCTGCCTTGCATCAAAGCCCTGAGCCCCATTAAGTGGCACGGCTCTTCCTCCTGAGTCAGCACCCCTTAAGTTGCCTTGTAATGTTTATTTTCTTTCAGTGGCTGGCTGCTTTTGTCTCTGTGTGTGTTTGTGTGTGGGAGGGACGTTTTGTGTGGGGCGTGGGGTGGAATTCTATTTATCTATGCTCCCATGTATTATAGAATTGATGCATGCTAGATTTCCATAACTTACTTGTTCCCTATGCCATCCGCCTGGTAAACTCGCAAGATTTGTTTTTCTTGCCATGTATGTGTATACACCCGAACTAGACTGTGTTGTTTCTCTGGGCTATATGCATGTGTGTGTGTGTGTGTGTGTGGATGTATGCATAATTTATTTTTTATTTTTTTTATTTATTTATTGGTCATGTTTATGCAGTGTATACTGGAGGCGGTTCCCTCTGAGAGCTGTATGCAACAAAATCTCATTCTAATGTATGCTGATTAGTGTACATTTAAAGGGACAATAAAGTTATTATTCCATTATTCTGTTCTGTTCTCTTTCAAGAAAAGAGACAGCCTCTGCAATGGTCTTTTGGGCTATTTTTGCACACAATACTAAGTTTAGTTAGCTTTAACCTTGGTTGTTTCCTTGGTGCGTGTGTGTGTCTGTGTCTTAGTATGTTGTGTGAACCCAGGCCACTGGGTGACTTAATGATTCATTGCGTTGTGCAAACCCAGGAAATGGGAGAATTCTTGCAACAAGATGAAACATGTTGCCAAATTGTCTCCCATTAATCTTCTGCGCTTTGGAAGGGCTCACGGGAATTTGTGGTTCCAAAATGACAACCTTGGCAGATTCACAAAGACAACGTTGGAAGCCCAGCAAAAAAGATCCTTTGCAGTGACATCCTAATCTTCATGGATTATGTTACCTAGCTTGGAAATAGTAAAACAATTGTAACCCCAAAAATCTTAGCTTGGAGAACTCTTTAAGAAACCAACATCTCCTAATCCTTCCCTTCCTCTTTCGTTGTAGGCCTCTGGGCTCAGAAGGTGCTTGTCAATGAGACGGTCTCTGGCTTCATCGGGACCGACGTGGTCCTTCACTGCAACTTGGTCAAGATCAATCACACGAGGATCACCCAGGTCACCTGGCAGAAGGCCAGTAATGGCTCCAAGCAAAATGTGGCCATCTACAACCCCGTCATGGGGGTCTCCATCCTGCCCCCCTACGAGGAGAGAGTGGTCTTCCAGAGCCCCTCCATCACCGATGGGACCATCAAGCTATCCAACCTCCAGTTGGACGATGAAGGGATCTACATCTGTGAGTTTGCCACCTTCCCCACTGGCAACCGGGAAAACCAACTCAATCTCACTGTATTGGGTATGTTGCCAATCTTGTTTTATTTTATTTTTTTTTTTATTTATTTTTTATTATTATTATTATTATTATTATTATTATTATTATTATTATTATTATTATTATTATTATTATTATTATTATTATTATTATTATTATTATTATTATTATTAAAATTATATGCTGCCCTCTCATTGTCAGGCGATTCTGGGTGGCTTACATCACCATAAAAGCAAAAATACGAAACATTAAACATTAGCATGGACAGAAATTTGATAAGTTAGGAACCAGAATACAACAGGGTGGAGGTGAGAACTTCTTCCTACTCTGCTAACCAGCACCGATCTGGAACGCCCCATCAGGGTCCCATGCCAGTTGGCAGAGACAGGTTTTGAGGTCATTTTGGAAGATCAAGAAAGTGGGAGGGGTCAGATCTCACCTTGAGGGGCACAATGTTCCAGAGGGTGGGAGCCTCAACAGGAAAGGCCCTTCTCCTGGAAGCTGCCAAAGAGAATTCCTTGATTGTTGGGGTCCACAGCATGCTCCTTCTGCCAAAGCAGGTGCAACATTGCCTACCTGCTGGGGCTATAGCAAAGACAGAGTGTGCATCAGAGTGATCCATCCGTCTTCCCCTATGCTGTTTTATGTCCATGTGGCTTCACTAGTTTCTTAGTAGGTGTAGAACTAAGCGGTATCTCTAACCAGCTGAACAAGAGCATCAAGGATGGAATCAAGAGGCTTCACGATTCCTCCTTCCTTTCCAGTCTTTTTCTCCTTTGCACATGGGGGTGATTTCAGTCTCCTCCCACCCTCCCTGAGTGAGAACAGGGAGGGGATGGAGAGCAGGACCAGAAATTCAGAGAGCTTGGAAAGGTTTGCATTGTGGTTAAAGCTCGGAGGACTTTTTCCCTGCCCAAAAGATATAAAAAAATGGTTACATTTCTAGGAATTAGAAACTGTTTTTTTAATGGATTCAAAAAAGAGGAACTGCAGGAGCAGAAAGGAGAAGTGGCTTTTCCAAATTCAGAGGAATTCCTTTTCAGGTTTCCCTCCCCCCCCCCTTCATAGATCTCATGTGTAAACACTTGTTTTACCTGTCTGAAAACATTTCAATTTCCAACTCTTGGCAAACAAATCTAGAATTGCACCCAGCTCTCCAGAAAAATATTTGATCATTTTCCTTTTGTCCTGTCTGGGGCTTATATTTGGTAAACATATTTTACTCTTTGTGAGAAAACTCTCCACTGAGTTAGAATGAGAGTAGGAAACATTTGCCTTCCTTCTGAACAAACTTTGTCTTGTCCTCAAATGATCACCTGTGTCATCGGATGTTCTAGATAGATTGTTCTGCAACGGCCTCTCACTGACTACAATTCAGTGTTTCTCAACCTTGACAATTTTAAGGCATGTGGACTTCAACTCCCAGAATTCCACAGCCAGCAATGCTGGCTGTGGAATTCTGGGAGTTGAAGTCCACATGCCTTAAAATTGTCAAGGTTGAGAAACACTGGACTACATCAACTATGTCAGAGTTTTTAACTCTCTTGCAAATTTGCTTGGAGACCCAGAAAACTGGGAAAAGCTGCATCGATGTTGGGATTAAGGAAAAGAAATTGACTCTGGACAAATGCAAATGTTTGTGTACAGGGTGAAGCTATTATTCAAAATATTGCACAACCTCCCAGTCAGGGCTTCTTGTTTTGAAAATATTGATGCAGGCCATTTAATGTAAACCCCGAAGCAAGTTTACAGCAATAATATAAAAACAAAGCTCCGTAAGGAAAATGATCCGTGAAAAACATCAACATTAGTGGGAGTTAGTGGCTGAGGAAGGTCATCCGCAAAAGATGTGGTTTGGGAGAAAGCTCAGAACCAAGCTAGAACTCACAGTCTCCTGGTTTATAGCCTCACTTTGTAGCTACTACATCAAACTGGCCCTCCGCTTTTATATTAGGGAGGACTTATTTTTGAATTCAAGCCTTACAATCCACACATTTCACTAAGCCATGGCCTGTTTTAACTCTAGTCTGTAGAATAACCGTAGTGACTTGGCTCAAACAGAGCAGAGACATGTTTCAGAATCAACAGGCTGACCTAGAAGTCAGGTAGATCAGAGCACCTGCTGTTTCCGCTTCAATGTTTTTTTGGGGGGGAGAATTTGAGGTGTGAAACGAAGGTGAGATGTCATCAGAGGCTACTAAAGAGCCCTCAGCTTCTCCCTTTCCAGCACACCGGATTTTCATAGCATGTTTGCTATCCTGCCCAGATGAAGAACGACTCAAAACGTGCCCCATTTTTCATGAAATGTGTCACTCCAATGAATTCAGATTCAGCAGTGGGATCTCATTTGTGGTTTGTATTGTTTTACTCCATGTATATATATGTATTTATAAGATTTGTATTTCCTCCTGTCTTGTAAAACACAACTTTGGATGGCTCACTCACAACAATAATAAAAACACAAACAAGGAAACAAGCTGAGGGCTGGTTTCATTTGAGATGGGATTCACAGAGAAATCCTTGTCAACAAGTCTACCTAGATCTTCACTGAAGTTCAGCTCTTGGGCAAACTAATGAGGAGGACCACTAGGTTGACGTTCATCAAATGACTCATGCTCCTTGTTGGTTACTTGATCATGACTCCTTTGCTTCTGCTTGCTCATCCCTTGCCTTTTCTTCAGCCAAACCAGTGAACCGGATGGAGGGCACCTCCAGACCATTGATTGCCAGGGCCGGCATGACAGAGAAAATCCTGGTGGCCACCTGCATATCCTCCAATGGGAAACCTCCTAGCACTGTGACCTGGGACACTAAACTGAAGGGCGAGGCAGAATTCCAGGAGATCCGCAATGAGAATGGCACCATCACTGTGATCAGCCGCTACCGTCTTTTACCAAGCCGAGAGGCCCACCAGCAGCAGCTAAAGTGTGTGGTCAACTACCAGTTGGAGCGTTTTACGCAGAGCATGACCCTCAACGTGTTGTGTAAGTTGAACAAACAGGAGTGATGCTTAGCAGTGGAGCTGGGACTTCAAAGTGACAGAACCTAAAATGGGAGATCTTATCTTATCACAGCCACCTTAATGAAGATTTGATTACTTCCCTTGTTGGGGAGTTGCACTAGGCATGGGCTTTCCTGAGGGAGGAGGGACAAGTAACAAAACATGTGTGATGATGTCAGGACATGAGGACATCTGCAACCATCATCGTTGACATGATGGGTGTCATGCATGTGTCATTGTGACATCAATGGCTGCAGAAGCCATTGTTAGGAGATGAAGCTGGTCTCCAGGGCATCCATTAATGTTTGAATCTTCTCTCGCCCTACCTCCTCTTGCTGTTTTTCCTACTCTCCTGTCTTCTCCTGACTCTTCTCTGCTTTCCCTCCATCCTTCCTCTTTTTCTCCTTGCCTTTCCGATTCCACTTTTGCCCTTACCTGTCCAATTTTTCCTTTCTTCTCCTGGGCTCATCCTTTCACCCTTGTTTCTCTTCATCCTTCTGTTCTCCACACCTCCTCAACCCCGTTCTTCCCATCCTTCTCTTCCTCAATGTTGCCCTCATTCCTAATCTTTTCAACCACACTTCTACCCTCCTTGGCTCTCTTGACTCTTTCTTCCCTCCGTCCCTGCTTCTCTCTTCCCTTACCCTCCTCCTTCCTTTTTCCCCTCTCTCTCTTTCACCCACCTTCTTCCATTCTGTTCTCCCTGCTCCTCCTTCACAGATGAACCTGAGGTTAGAATCGATGGTTTTGACAGTAACTGGTATCTCAACCGGAAGGATGTCAAACTGACATGTATATCAGACGCCAATCCCCCCGCCATGGAGTACCAATGGAAGCGGTAAGTATTGACCCACAGCACATGGATGAACAGTTCTTTGTAGCATTGAATGAGTGGGGAACCAACTGGGAACACTTTTGCGCCCATAAAGTTGCTTTAAGAGCTATTTGGTCAGACTGTGCAGGTGAAGAAAGAATGATTGACACCTCTTTTCCTCCACTGTTTTACGAAAACTGTACCCTGAAGACTGCAAGGTAGCGTTTCTAAGCAAGGCCCAGTTTAGCTTTTCCATTTGTGCTGCTGTTCTCTTTGTGAATCTTTTATGCCACCCTTTTATTTATTCTAATTCTAGTCATTTCTGCAATATTTGTTACATGGTGGGTTTTGGGTTAGAAAAATGACCGTACTAAATGCTGCTGATGACATAAAGAAATGCTTTCTCTTGAGTTTCCATGTTCGATCTGATAGAGGCAGCCGCCATATAGAGAACAACAGGAGTTTTAAGGATTAAGGAGGATGGACTGCAACCCGTTCCAAGTCCCTCCTCCAAATCTTAACAAATATAGGTAGTCCTTAACTAACAACTGTAATTGAGCCTGCTATTGTGGTCATTAAGTCATGCCGGTTATCACATGACCGTGCCTGATTTTATGACCATTGTTCAGTGGTTGTTAAGTGAACACAATTGTTAAGTGAATCCATTGTTGGCGATGGGTGTTTTTTGCTGGAAACCAGAAGTAAATAGCAGTTTCTGGCAAAAAATAATAAATTGCAAGGCACAGTGGTTAGAATGCAGTATTGCAGGCTAATTCTGCCCACTGCCAGCAGTTTGATCCTGACTGACTCCAGGTTGACTCAGCCTTCCATCCTTCCCAGGTCGGTAAAATGAGGACCCAGATTGTTGGGGGCAAATAGGCTGACTCTGTAAACCGCTTAGAGAGGGCTGTAAAGCACTGTGAAGCGGTATAGAAGTCTACATGCTATTGTTATTGCTAAATCATGGTCATTTGACTATGGGGCACTACAAATGGCTGTAAATGCAAATCAGTTGCCAAGAGCTTAAAATGCAGTATTGTGAATGCAGAGAGGGGGGAAGGGCTGGTTATTGGAACTCGAAAACTGAGTTGTAAGTACCTTTTGGGGGGGGGTTCTGTCCTAACTTTGAACAATCATTAAGTAACTGGATGTAAGTTGAAGACCGCCTGTCCCCATAGCAAACCCTGGACTCCTCCAAGAGAAATTGATCAGGGTTTGCCTCTGACTAGCTGCAAACGCTGATCAATTTTGATCCTATCAGGATGCAGGGTGAGAGTCTCCCTGGCGGGCAGGTGTTTCACAAAAGCAAAAAAAAAAGGGGGGGAAAGGCCACCATCCTCCCACACACGGTTTCTGCAATCAAGAGCATCTAATTAGCAGGTGAGAAGATCTGACCTGTTGCACCTCTCAGGTGTTAGCTCATTCTCACCTTTCACAGCTTGCAGGACTTCTTTAGACCTCAGAAGTAGGTCTCTGGCGCTGGATTCCGGTTGGTTTCCCTGGAAAACATTCAAAATAAAACCCACACATCTGTTCAGGCCTGGTCGTCCTCAGATATTCCCACCTCTTCTTTCTTTTTTTTAAAAAAAATGCTCCTTTCTCATGTTTGGCAACTGAGACATTGTTGGGGATATCAGTTTCCACCCACCTGAGCATCTCCGACTGGCAGTTTAGGAAGGAGCATGTGTGTTTGTGTGTGTGCGTTTGTGCGTTTCCAAGCAGACACATTTGGATCAGCAGCTGCTGAGTCATCGGCCACATCACCTGCAGTGACCTGGATGGAGTCGTTCAGGCAAGCGAGCGGATGGTCCCTTTCTCACAAACAGCCCAAGAAGAGATGGGAGTCATGCTTCTCAGAGGCCCAGTAAGGGCTGAGATTGGCTGCTTCCTGGTGGGCATTCTCACAAACGCGTTGCCTCTAGAAAGCGAGTGTGTCAGAAGGAAAGCTTTTATTTCCTTTCTCTTCTGCGGGCAGAGAGTTAACTGTTTGATAGGGAGAAATCATTAATCCTGGAACCCTGGCATTGACTCTGGACGGGGTACCATCCTCACAACCTTCAAATATGTTTTCTGTGGTTGAAGAAGGCCAGCAGAAGAGCATTTCCCAGATGAGCATGGAGGAAGAAGCTGGCTTATCTAAACAGAGAGAGGCAATCTAATCATCACCATGGGTTGTTCTTTGCAGGATTCTGGTAAATGTGTCTTTACAATGAAGAACAATAGGCTTGTTTGGCTGTGTTTCCTGTCCATCTGGCAACGGATGGAAACTAATCAAAAAGAGAAGCAACCTAGAACTAAGGACAAATTTCCTGACAGATAGAACAATTAATCAGTGGAACAACCTGCCTCCAGAAGTCGTGAATGCTCCAACACTGGAAGCTTTTAAGAAGAGATTGGACAATTATTTGTCTGGAATGATATAGGGTTTCCTGCCTGAGCAGGGGGTTGGACTGGAAGACCTCCAAGGTCCCTTCCAGCTTCTATTCTATTCTATTCTATTCTATTCTATTCTATTCTATTCTATTCTATTCTATTCTATTCTATTTTCTGTACTGTACTGTTCTGTTCTGTTCTGTACTTTTCTCTGCAGACACATCCTTTAGTCAAAGTCCTAGCACTCATAACGTTACACAGTTTGGTCATGAAAGAAAACCACCAAGCTCAGAGAGCATCAAGAACCCCATAATTAATCAATGGAATAGCTGGCCCCCAGGAGTTGTGGGTGCTCCATCACTGGAGGTTTTCAAGAAACAAATAGGACAACAATTTGCCTGGGATGGTATATGGACTCCTGCCTTGGGCTGGGGGGTTGGACTGGAAGACCCCAAGGTCCCTTCCAGGCCTAAGATTCTACGATTCTAAGACCCCAAATCTCCCACTCTCTTTCCTTTCTTTTCAAAATAATGCATTATTAGCTTTCTGGTTGGGAATGCTATAGCTTGCCTTAAATTATAAAGTATTGGTTGTTTCTTCTCAAAGTCCTTGCCGGTGGGGCATGCTAACATGGACAAAATCAAGCTTCCATTTCTTTGGACCAAATAGCTTATGGTTAATGATGGTGGTGATGGTGTTTTGAAGGCAATCAAGTAGATGGTGAAGCTGCTTTAGAGGACCTCTGCTGTTGGGCTAATATTTTCGGAACATTAATTGCTCTCAAGGGGAGGGAGGGGCTTTCCCCACCACCCACTGATTCTAATTGGAGCTTCATCTGAATGCAAATCGGGTCTGTCACCCCTGGGTTGGGTGCTCCTCAATTGCTTTTGCTGAACTTAATTGCTTTCCCTCGGATTGATTAAAAAATGAGTAAACTGCATAATTTACCTCTGTGTACAGAGTTGTTTGTGTTTGCTCAGTGATTTTTCCAAAACACTTTGGAATTGATTTATTTTTATTTATTTTTAATCTTTTTTGCTGAGCTTCTCTCAGTTTCTATCGGGGCTAACACTATGAGGCTGCAATTCCTACATGTGGTGTTTTGTGGGAAAGAACCGTTACTATAGAACAGATAGCATTAGCAAATCTATTTCTGAGGAGATGGGTGAATAAAATAGTCTAGGTTGAAGTTATTTATTTATTTA